TTATAGAAAAATATTTTGAACAATATACTCAATATCTTAGGTAATTAATGTATGTCAAAAAGATTGTAACTCTGAAAATTATGTAAATCAAAGAAGTTTTGGCTTTGAAGTTATCCATTAACTATCTGAAAAAAACACCTGTAAAAAAAGGTATGAAGGGCTGGGATTGTGGCTCAGTGGTAGAGCGCTCTCCTAGCTATGGGCAGGACCCAGATTCGATCCTCAGCACCACATAAAAATAAAGGCATTGTGTTGTGTCCATCTACCTAAAAAATAAATATTTAAAAAAAGGTATGAAAATAAAGGCCCCTCTAGGGGCAGCAGATTTCTTCTGGAGAATGCTAGTAACTTGCAACCTGTTGTCCCATCTCTTCTTCTTTCGCTGACATCACTCCTCCTTCAGGACCCTTGGATTCCCCCGCTGGGCTGGACCCCATCAGTTTTTAATCCCTTGATAGCCACCTACGGTGACTTGTACTTGTGCCTTTGCCATCTTAAACTTTCTTCACCTTTTTGTAACTCACACATATTATTATGTGAAGTGTGACATGGGACTTGAGTGTTATGGATATTAGTAATTAAGATCAGAATGGAATAAAAGAACTTGTGATTGCTTTGGTCATGATACCAAGTGAAACCATGTGTAACTGGTGAATTAAAGTCTGAAAATGATGTAGTTTATGAATTTATTCTTATTTATTAAGTTCAGACACATTGTAGAAAGATAAAAATGTGTCCAGTCTATATGGATGCCATGACTCACTCCAACGCACCTTGAGAAATACCCTCAAAGATGGGACGGGATGAAAACCCAGCAAAGGTATACAGAGGAAGATAACAGAAAGAACTGCCCACTACCATCACATCCTCAGTGCCCAGTGCAGAGGCTGGTATGTGGGCTCTCAGGAAAGAGCCACATGTAAGAATATGTAAGGAACATGCAGATGGCATGGGTCACTACTGTGAAGCCCAGTTGTACACTGGAAAATGTCCAAAGTGAGGCAAATAAGAAGTCAGCCTGCAAACCGTGCAGACAGAAGCCAGGCTAGGCAGAGTGGAGCGCCTAGTGTCTCAAAATATGAACCTGCTTCCTCCCAAGCCAGGAGTCCTTGCTCCAAGTCCCAGTCCTGCCACTAACTTATGTTACAATTTTGGGGTCTCATATTCTGACCATGTGACTGGTGATTGGATTGTAAATACCTGTCCCTAGGAGTTTGACTAGACTTGAAAAGTAAACACTCCTGTGCCAGGCTTTCAAGGCCAGAGATTCAAACACTTTTCCAAACACTGTGGTCTCTCAAAATTACCTCCCAACGTACAAAGCCATTGAGGCTCAGTAGGTCATTCAACACTGATTGGAAAATATTACAACTCATGCTTCATGTAAAAGCTAAGACACAACTCCAAATTTCAATAAATACATCAAAAGCACATCAAGTAATTCCAGAACTCACTGACATTTGTACCCCTGATGTGTTGCTCTTCCAACATGTTATCATCCTTTGTCCACATCACAAAGTGTTTTTAAGTGGAAGGTGATTTGGTTTTGATTTTTATTGTTTTTTGGTACCAGATATTGAATCCAGGGGCACTTAACTACTGAACCCACATCCCCAGCCCTCTTTATTTTTTATTTTAAGATCGGGTCCTGCTAAGTTGCTGAGGCTGACTTTGAACTCTATCATCCTGCTTCAGCCTCCCTGTGATTGAAAAACCAGACTTGATTATAAAATGAAATTTTAAGAACATTATGATGGGGCTGGGGATGTGGCTCAAACGGTAGCGCGCTCACCTGGCATGCACAGGGCGCTGGGTTCGATCCTCAGCACCATATAAAAATAAAATAAAGATGTTGTGTCCACCGACAACTAAAAAATAAATATTAAAAAATTCAAAAAAAAAACCTTATGATGAAAAAACAATGCCTGAAAAAAGCGGTTAATTCCCTTCCCCTTCTGTCAACCTTTCTTCAGAAAACCTAATTAACCATGGGTCCCTACCCATTGGATTGTAAATACCTGTCCCTAGGAGTTTGACTAGACTTGAAAAGTAAACACCCCTGTGCCAGGCTTTCAAGGCCAGAGATTCAACTGATGAGTGTGAACAGAATCTTCTCTTCTGTAACTTTCTAAACTCTAGGAATGTAGCTACATCATTTAATTGCTAGGTCAATTAATTGCTGTCTAAACTATAACCTCATAGGCTTAGTTCTTAGAAATATAGCTCTTAGGAAGGTAAACTCAAGTCATCTTGAGTTGCTGCTGACTGTGATAAAAACTACTTAAAGATAACACTGTCAAGTGTTTTACTGCCTTTGTTCTGCACATGTGAACTACTTACCGTAAATTCCCTGTGCATTGTCTTTGGTCACATAGGCCAAGAATTCAAACCCACCAATGTCATAATGGTTAAGAAATGATGTCAAATTTCCTATAAAAGCCCCATGTAACCTCAGCTCAGGGACCAGAACTTCAGAGCACTAGCTCATCTAAGTCCACCAAGTTCTCCTGATATACCTAGCCTAGTTATCTCATTAGATCAGAAGCCAGCTTGTCACAAGTTATGAAGGATTCATTTCTGTTTTTTGTAAAAATATCAGGATGTCTGTATGGCCTGGCCATTAGTTGATGTTGTAAAGCTGATTGGAATGCCTGCCCGTGCCCTGAACTCACCCAGGTCCGGTTTTCCCTGACCATATAACAACCCTTTCCTAAACCTTAGTGACGCCTCATAAATTCTGGCCTTCCCTGGCCGGGTAAGGACCCTCTCTGAGTCTCTAAGATCTCCATAAATTCTGATGCCGGGGCCAGCAAAAATGTAAACTTGTGTTATGCTCTTCAGAGTGTTGTTATCTGTAACCCCCCTTCGTGTAACTTTTTGGGCTATAAAACTGGGCCACAAAGAAGCCTCAGGGCTGTCCTTGGCTCCCACGATTTTGAGGGGCAAGGCAGCCCGGCCGGTCGAAATAATAAGCTTGCTTTAATTTGATTTTAATTGGAGTCAGTGGTCTTTTCTTGCGTCGTGGTCTAACACTCCAATCCTCCCAATGGTGCTTGGTCTCTTGCTGAGCGTGATTTCCAAAACATCCCCAGCTGCTGGGTTTAAGGCGGGCTATAAGGTGCTCTTCTGAAGAGAGTTCTTTTCACACAAACATTTTCTGGGAGGCACCTTTATCCTCTTTGCTACTATTTCATAAGGACACTGTCTTGATGCTTTTTTCAGTTTGGAATCTGCTTCTAGTTTCCTAACTAAACATTCTGTGTGGTCCTAAAATAGGGATTTAGTATAAAGAAAGAAAAGAAACAGAGAGAAAGACAGAGACAGAGAGAGAGGGGGGTTCAGAATCTTAAGGAAAACACTCTCAAGCTTGAAATGAAGAATCAAGCCACTGAGATGGCAGAAAACACAGTTGTAGACCTTGGCCCATACCCTTGTAAAATGAAGGCAATATGCAAGCACAGGAAAACTGGCTGCTCCAACCTAGATCCACCACTAGTCCAGCCCCTGATACTCCCATTCTATAAACATTGGATACCCAGCCCAAGTCAGGACTTCTTACTCTGGAGACAGCCCATATTCCCCCTTAAATGGGTACCTACTTTCCTAAATAAATCTCTGTGTGCCTTTGTCTGGCTCATGCTGAAATTTTTTTCTATCGGGTATGCCAAGAACCCCTCTGGTCCCGAGTTAAGTTCTCCTCCTCCTCTGGGAACTCCTAGGACCCTTCTCCAGAGACATCTCTTTACCCTAGAGAGTCCCAGATTCCTCCATGTGATTCAGTGGTTCTGGGTTGCTCCCCACTCACTTGGCCCAGCTCATCTTGCATTCCTGGCCAATGTTCAGAGTTAAAGGGGACAGCTTGACATCAGGCAGTTCTTAATAGGCTTGTAGACCTTTAGGCCACAGCACATGGAAAAATTGCTGAAGGCCTCTGGGCTTTGATATTTAAGGGAGGCTTGGCAAATTCACTGAGCAGAGTGAACTTCTGTCCTAAAGGGAAAAACAACAGCTGAAAGCATTTACAAATGCTATTGATGCCATTAAGTGGCCCTCTCAAAAAGCCAGAGAAACTGTGCTTGAGGCACTGTGTGTCTTCTCTGACCTTCTAGCCACAAAACACAGCATTAGATCCTTCAAACAAATGTGCTGGGGTGACCCTTTCCTTAAACATTTTGGGTTTTTTGAAGTGTTTTTCTTAGGATTTTGGATTTGAAACTAGCTATTAAAAACCTATTGATCTGGTGGGCAGGGTGGCACAGACCTGTAATCCCAGCGGCTCAGGAGGCTGAGGCAGGAGGATGGCAAGTTCAAAGCCAGCCTCAGCAAAAGCAAGGCACTTGCAACTCAGTGAGACCTTGTCTCCAAATAAAATACAAAATAGGGCTGGGAACGGGGCTGGATGGTCACTGTCCCTGGGTTCAATCGCCAGTACCCCTCCCCCCCCAAAAAATAGCTTATTGATCTCAAGTCTAGCTTGAAGTCCAACAGTTTTGTCTTGAAAGACCTTACAATGATACTAAATTTTTTCTAAACGCTGTCCTTGTCTTTGTAAGGTCCTTGCTTAGCATCTGGATGGCCGTCTTAAGTGACAGTCACCATTTTAAGAAAAATTTCGCTTTCCGGCCAAGAGGCTCTGAGAAAGGCTCACCAGTCCTCATACCAAGCCTACCCTTCAGGGCGCACTGGGACCGCACGTCCGGGGACCCGCGCTCCAAAGCCCAGCCTGCCCCCAACAGTCCCCACCGCGCCCTGTCTTCGACTCTGGTCTCGCCCGTCTTTTCGCTCGCCCGGCTCCTTCCGGTCCGGTTTTCTCGGTCCTTCCGGGTCTAAGACATGCTTTCTGGCCGGGCGCAGTGGCACTAGCCAGCAAGCCCAGCCCTAGGGCGCCTGAGGCCGATGGCTCCCACGCTCAAGGCCAGCCTCCGCTCAGGCCCGGCCGCTTGGCCGAGGCCGGGGTCGCCCGCTGACGGCGCCCCTCTCCCAGTCAGGTCAAGAGGCCGGGCCGCGACTCAGCGGTAGGGCGCCGGCCTAGCCCGCGTGAGGCGCTGGGTTCCATCCTCAGCACCGGGCATAAACAAGGAAAATAAAGGTCCATTAACGACTAAAAACAAGGGTCCCTTTCTTCCAGGTTAGCAAGCCGTCTGGTTTGTCCAGAACCTCCCTGGTTCAGCATTACAAGGCCTCCGAAGATCCGGACGTTTGGTCACGGGATAGGACCCGCGGACACAACCCGGGCGCCCTGCTTCCCGTGGGGCCGGGCCTTCGGTGCGGCGCCTGGCCTCTGTGCCCCTCCTCCTTGCCGGCAGGACCCGCGCGGCCGCCGGGGGCGCTGTGGGACGCGGGAGCGATCGGACAGGCGCTCTGGCCTCGGGCGCCGCCGCTCCTTCCGCCTTCCCGGCGGGCCGCGCGCGGCGCCTGCGCACTCGGTGACCTTTGCGGGTCGGCTTCGCGGTGTGGAGCGGCTTGAGCTATTGGTTCTGGCGAGGTGAGAGCTGGTCCCCGCCGGCCGCAGAGCTCGCAACGCGGGGAGTGGAGAGGCGGCGGGTCGGAGGTCCAGGGGTTAGGGGCGGGATCGGGGCGAGGGACAACACGGGCCCACTGACCTTGGGTCAGCCCCTTCTGCTCGCCCGCTACTCTTCTCCGGTCCCGAGGCCTCGCGGCGACACGGGTGCCGGGGGTTGGCCCTCAGACTGCGAGGGGGGCTCCGGGGTCGGGCCCCAGACTGCGAACGACTGGGGTTGGCTTCCGGATTGTGAGAGGGCCAGCCTTCAGGAGCGCGCCTCTGCCGGAGTCGGTTTCCACAGCGGAGAGCAGGAAGCCGGGAGATTGAGGGGATCCGGCCTAACGTTCTGGCCCTGATTTGGCGTGAACCCAGGCCCGCTTACCTGCTGTGCGATCTTGGCCGTCTGACAAGGACCTGCTTTGTAGGGGTGGGTTGTAGGTGCAGGAAGTAAGTCCCTCAAACACTGAGTAAATGCTGTTAAACTTAGGGAACAGCCTAGAGTAAAAACTAGGCTTTACTTTGGCCTCCAAGGTGCTAGAGACCAGGCCGTCTTTTATCCTGTAGTTCAGCCACAGCGTTTTGGGAAACAAGCACTTAGTATGCAGTACCAGACACTGTAAGCACTTGGCATGCAGTGACTCACTTCAGGGTCAAAACGGCCCCCCTTGAAGAGGTTACTGTTTATTCCTTTTGTATAGATGAGAAAACTGAGGCAGTATAAGTAACTATTAAGTGACAGCCAGGATCTGAATCTGGGCAGCCACTTGGCCTTCTTCCTTCCCACTCCTCCCAGCTATTCAAGTTTATTCTGACCTGGGGTGTCTTGGCACATCAGTGCCTCTGCTGAGAACACTTCTCCTTGGTATCCTGGCTCTTTTTTGTTTCTCAGCTCCCAAAACAGTGGCACCTAGCATGTGCTCAGTACATATTTGCTGAGTGGCTGTGCAATACAGGTTTCCATAATTTGAGGGCAGCCATTGACCTTTGAATAGGTTGGGCTTTTGGAGAATCTGATGTTACAAAACTGATGGGGAGCTGAGAAATATGGAAAACCACAGCACTGGAAGATGAGAATCCTGTATGTGACAGGTAGCAGTGCGGTATGAGAGGAGCAGGGGCAGGGCAAGACAAGATTTCAGCTGCCTCCAAGTGAGAGGTTCCAAGTGAGATGATAAGTGCTCAGATCTAGTCATTCCTGACAACCACTGCAACGATTCTCCTTTAATAGGCCAGATGTTACAATGCCTCTTAAGATGAACACCAGGGCATCTAGTTTAGGGTCTGTGTAAATTGCAAAAGTAATCAAAAGCATTACTTAGATCTGCACAAAGCTAACTGTAGGTTCAGAATTGTATGGCTTTCTCAATCAAATTCAGTAATTAGTTAAATAATATTTTTTAAATAAATAAGTTCTGTCATATTTGGACCTCTACCTGGTCAAAGTATGTACAGGCCCAGGTGTGAGTTTCATAAGGAAGTCACCATACCCTGACCTGTTCTTTTCAGCTTTGAATGCCGGCCATTCTCAACATGATGATGAAGCCAGTCTTTCCACTTAAAAGTCAGAAGAGTGGAGTGTGACTTTGAGCATAGCATTAATGGAAGATTGGCTTGGGTATGGGCAACATGGTGGCAGAGTGCTGGAATGGGGGCGAATGAGGTGACTGAGTGCCAAGTGACTTGCACTGTGGAGAGAAGGTGCTCACATGGGGGGACTAGACTAGGTCAAGAACAAGAGCAACTCCCTGTCAGGTGGTTGTGGGAGATGGAGTCAGACTTAATGAATAAATGAAGATTATCTTTTATGTGTTAGAGTTAGAGCAATAGTCACCTTAGTGTTTATCACTGTGTTCATTTTCAGATGCTTCAAACCATTATTAAAAACTACTGGATCCCCTTGAAGCCCTACTATACCCAGGTTTACCAAGAGATTTGGGTAGGAATGGGGTTAATGAGCTTCATTGTTTATAAAATCAGGAGTGCTGGTAAGTTTACTTATGTTTGATTTATTTGAGGTCAAGAAGAAAAATGTTTTCGGAAAGAATCACAATTCATTTATCAAGGAACTATGGCTCTTAACCATAGCATAAGATGGCTCAAGCCACAGAACCGCTATGGCACTGTGAGTCAGCTATGAAGAGGTTGTGGGGACAGTGGGGGAACTTGAGCAACTCCTTGATATTGATAAATTGTGCATTGTCCTGGGTATTGCCAATACATAGGAGATGTTCTTCATCTTCAGAGATGCAGGCTGAAGTATTGTGGGTATCATGCCCTGGTGTACAGTACTTTATCATACCTTCTCAATGGTTCTATTGGACATTTATTCACAATCAAATTTGGAGGGGAGAAATAACCATTTGGTTCTTAGTGGAGCAGAGATGAGGCCTAGCCACATATTGTTGAGCCATTGATTAAGAAGAGGAAGGAAAGAAGGCAAGACTGCAGTTGAGAGTGTGGTGGGTAGTGAGGAAGCCTTCTCTTCACTGTCCATAGATCTTCTTTGGTAGAAACTTTACCACTTCTTGGCTGTGGGACACTATAGTAACTCTGCTATTGTCTGAAAGCTTCCTGGAATGCTTTACCTAAGCTATGAAGCATTCAGCCAAATGTTGCTTTTGATAAATGAATCAATTATAAGCATTTTTGGAAAATATTGATGTAACCCATTTTTTTCTGCCTTTTATTTTAGATAAAAGAAGTAAAGCTTTGAAAGGTAAGGGTTTGCTTCTTAAAGTGGTTGGGAAATGAAAAACACCATTGTGTGTTTGCAAGAGGTATTATATCATTGTTCTAAACTAAATTTGATACATGGTTCAGTTAAGTAAGATACAATGGAAATACTTCAGAACATGAAGTTTGCTATGCCTACTGAAAAGGAGAAATCTAAATTTCTACTTTTTATAATCTGAATGGTTAAAAAAAATTATTCATTTTGTCAGTAAAACTTCCAGGAATAATAGAAAAAGAAGTAATCAGAGGTAGCTGATGCCACCAGCTGGGAAGCACAAGTTACTGTGTGAGCATGCTACCCTGTGAACGTCCTGATGGTGTGTTTTGAAAGAAAGCACCTAACAAATGTATGCCCTTGTATTAGATATTTGTTTCCATAGTGGCCGTCAAACTGTAGTCATTTGAGTTACACAAACCCTGCACTGGTCCCATGAGCTTTGGGGATGAGGTATTTCTCTACCCCTCTCACCTTTGCCTGTGCAGGTAAGCTGCTACAACAGGCATCATTTACAGGAGCTTTAAAACCCATTGGGCATTCCATGAAGAAAGAATTCCCTGTGCTTTTTCATATAATTGAAAATTGTCATTTATGTTTTCTGACTTGTTGATGCTTAATAAATGACATTCTGCTGCTGCTTTCCTTCCTAAATTGAATCTATATTATTCATCTCTTTCAAAAGGTTCAAGTCCTGCACCTTCTCATGGTCATCATTAGCCAGCTTGCTTGAGTACAGAATCGTCAGCCTGTAAATCTAAGCAGGCTTTGTTAAATGGGAACACGGAATGTCGCCATACCCTTATATAAGTACCATGTTCTTTGAGGCATGAATAAATGATCTGTGAGATGCACCACTACCATGCCAGTACTGCTTTGTTTCCCCCAAGTAGAGCCTTTGCAGTGCAGCAGGGGCCCTCACCCAGCCCGCCCTCCTGAGCAAACCTGAGAATGAGGAGTAAGTCTCCACTGCCACAGGGGTTGGTGAGTCTAGGCATTAATTTGAATTCTAATACTTAATAAATGTTTGTTAAACAAATCAGCCTCTGTTTTCACACTGGGGAGATGGAGATATTAATTATGTAGATTCCAATAGAATTATTATGAAGATCAATAAGGGAAAGGAACACATTACTTAAATTGTGAACTGCTTTAGAAAAAAAATAGCCGTAGACCACATGGTAGGCAAAATTAGAAGCTCTAGGAGAAAATTTTATCAGAAATTAATGGAGGCAAGTGAATACTATAAAACAATTGATGCTTCCTCTAGTTGGATTAGTATCAAATGAGTAGTGCATACTTATCTCCATCTAAATAAGGCAGTTGCCAAAGCCCCTAGAATCACATGCAGAAAAGATTGTAAAGCGGTAAGCCTGTGGGTGGGAGTAAGTCCAATTTGAGATCAGGTCTTTGCAAGTTAATACAAGTCCAGTGGTGAAATAGGAGTGATGACCCAGTGCTGGTCTCAGAAGCCTTCCTCTCTGATGCCAGAGACTTTCTATTTGTCATCTATGTCTCCAGCAGTTGGCATGGGGCCTGACCCATGGCAGGTTCCCCACAGATGACTGCCATTTACTATGGGATCTGAGCCTCACTTTGTTCTTTTCTAAGATGGGCATAAACCTGCCTTGTGTTCCTCACTGCCCCTCAGGGATGCCTTCCTAAAAGCCTTAGCATCATATTCCGTGGCTCAGTTCTGATGCAGGAGTCTGATCTTCTGTTACTTCTTTTCTGTTCAGCCTTGACAATAACTTGGTACAGCACCTATCTGAGAAATGGCTAATTGGCACTAGCCCTTTTCAAGCTGGGATGTGCACTGGAATCCCCTGAAAGTCAGGCACAGACTGGGGGACTCCACATTTTTTATCCCACTGGTCTGTAAAAGAGCCTGACAATTTTTATTTCTAACAAGTTCCAAGGACATGCTGGTGCCCACTACTAGGTTTTGGAGATTGCCCATAGGAAGAACAGACTTCTAGTCCTGCCATGACACCTACTGGAGGCCTAAAGGCCACTATTGTTCACTGTGGGAACACCCCCAACACCAGCCCTTCACCATGCAGCTTAGTGCATCTGGTCACTAGACCTTAATGAGGTTTAGAGCTCACAGAAGAGGAGACAGAGGCCAAGGAGGTAGTAATATGCCAAAGGTGTTGGAGAAGGTGAGGAATGGATAGATACAGAAGGAATGGAAACCCAAAGGGTGCTTCCCACAAGAGCTAAACTGTTGCTACCTAAGGGTTCTTCAGTCAAAATCACTTGTGGTGCAGGCCTAAATTCTAGCTACTCTGGATGCTGAGGCACAAGGATCACAAGTTCAAGCCATAACAGCAATTTATCAAGATCATCTCTATGAAAAAATAACAAGGACTAGGAGTGTAGCTAAGTAGTAGAGCAGTATTGGGTTTAATCCCCAGTACCAAAAAAATGAAAATCACAGGCCAGTCATTTCTTTTGTACAGAATGTCTATCATGGGCCACATCTTGTGCAATGGTGGATGAGAGACCAGTAGAATTGATTTGCTAGCCTGGAAACAGAGGGAGAAGCATGTCATGTACTGAAGGTAGCCTGTAGGTGGAGCCAGAGCATGCCACCAGGCAATGGTCACTATAATGGTCTCAAAGGAACTGCAGGCCCATTTAAAGGAGTGTTTGGAGAGCTATAGGAGCACCCACAGTAGGGAACAGCCAACTTCAGGAAGGTGCGACAAGGATTCACACACCTGTTCTTAATGCAGTGCTACTACTTTGTAGCCCTAAAGGCAGAAGGGAACATGGATCCCAGGCTTCTGAAGATGGAATCTTAAACAGTGTGTTTAACCTAGCCTCAAAGTGATCCTTTGGAGAAAGCACCCTGTTCTTGCTTGTCACTAAATATCCCAGTGGGATGTGCAGCTCCTGCAGCCGTCAATGGGGTTGCACCTCTAGAGCCAACAGATCCTGATGACCCAGTTGCAAACCCCAGTCTGGCTACTTTGCATTGAACTCATGAATCTGCTCTGTGCCCTTTGAGCTTGTAAAGTTGCCTAGTTTCACTGATGAAGAAATGGAGGCCTAGACAAGATAGTAAGCTTCCATTAAAAGATACTTACCTAGTTGGTAAAGCAAAAAAAAAAAAAGTTGGTAAAGACTTAGAATTAGGACTTGGAGTACAGTCTCACTTCCAGGTCTTTATCTGCACCAGCTCATGCATGACTGATGGGGTTTGGAGTCTAGAGAACAGATGTGTGAACAGGCACTGATGATGTGTGGAAATACTCACTGCAGTGGATGTTTGGTTTCAGTGGTCTTTCGTGGTGGTGGGAGCATCAGGCCTGGCTATGAGTCATATCAGGCTCAGTAGCCCAGCATCTGCCCAACAGCCAAGTCAGACATGGACCTGGTGTGGATCCCCATTCAGACACAGAAAAACACATTTCTAGGGCTGGGGTTGTAGCTCAGTGGTTTGCCTAGCACATGTGAGGCCCAAGGTTCAATCCTCAACACCACATAAAAATAAATAAATAAGGTATTGTGTCCATCCACAACAAAAAAAATATTTTTTTTAAAAAACAGGTATTTCTGTTGTAATTAGTGAAATTTGTACATGGACTGAGAATTAAGGATACCAAAGAATTGCTTCTTAATTACCACGATAATGATAGGGTAATTGAAGAAAATGTCTTTGATATCAGCAATGCAGATGTAATTATGAGGGTGTGAGGTGATATCTAGGAATTACTTTAAAATACATCAGGAAATATTAACCAATCAAAATAGATTGGGGAAGTAGCTTAATGGTAGAGCACTTGCCTAACACAGGCAAGATTTCCCAAGCACTGGGGGGGGGGGGATTTTTGAGAGGAATGAGTGATGGAGGAAATGAAATTGGCTGTGATGTGTAGAAGTTGGGGGACAGATGTATGGGGATGTACTACACTATCTCTGCCTTGACATATGGATATATGTTTAACTTCCCTCAAAAGTTTTTTTTAAATACCTAAGGAAAGGGCTGGGGTTATAGCTCAGTGGTGGAGCGCTTGCCTCCCACATGTGAGGCACTGAGTTCAATCCTCAGCACCACATAAAAATACATAAATAAAGATATTCTGTCCATCTACAAATTGTGTGTCTGTGTGTGTGTGTGTGTGCAGTCAAAACGTTTGTTGGTATTATAATACCTATTTGAGAAGCCAGCACTGCAACCCTGGAAATGCAAGGTAGCATCTCAGTGAACTTGCAGTCAGTTATTTTGGACTTATGTCAGACACTCAGGATCTATTATCAAAATGATGGAAGAGTCAGCTTGTAGAATGTGTTTCCTTCTTTAATAGTGATCTAATACAGGCCTGAGCTAGTATAAATTCTTAAGCCTATGGGGAAGAAAATGTTGAAAACTATATTGGGGGATGGGCGAGTACCTGGGATTAAACTCAGGGGCACTCGACCACTGAGCCACATTCCTAGCCCTATTTTATATTTTATTAGAGACAGGGTCTCCCTGAGTTGCTTAGTGCAACTAAATTGCTGGGGTTGGCTTTGAACTCACAATCCTCCTATCTCAGCCTCCTGAGCCACTGGGATTAAAGGCGTGCACCACCATACCCAGCTTCTAGTCTATCTTTTAAATTAAATTTACAACTCAAAACTGAAATGGTTGTGACAGTGATTGTTTCTATACTGTCGTCTTATTCTTTCTTCCCTTAGAATATAATAACACTTTGGGGCTTTTCATTTGAAAATATATTCTACTCAATAATAAAAAAGTCAAGTATTACAGCTTTGAGAACTTCCCATATAACTTGTCAGATGAGTACCGTTGGAGAAAAAATCAAATTTATGTGTTATTTTAAAGGAAAATTAATCCAAATAATTAAAAATTTTGAGCAGGGGCTAAAGTTGTGGCTCAGTGGTAGAGCACTCATCTAGCGTGTGTGAGGCACTGGGTTTGATCCCCAGCATTGCTCAAAAATAAATAATAAAATAATAATATGTCCATCTACAACTAAAAAATATTTTTTGATAGGTGGGTATATTAGAACCCATTAAAGTGGAGGCAAAGGTCAGTCATGGTGGCACACATCTGTAATCCCAGCAGCTTGGGAGGCTGAGGCAGGAGGATTGCAAGTTCAAAGCCAGCCTCAGCAATGGCAAGGCACTTAACAACTCAGTGAGACCCTGTCTCTAAATAAAATACAAAATAAGGCTGGGGGTGTAGCTCAGAGATTGAGCTCAATCCCTAGTACCAAAAAAAAAAAAAAATGCACATCCAATAAATGACATTCATTTCTTTAAAAAAAGGCTGCCAGAGCTCCCAGCAGCTGGGAGCAAGCATCACGCCATCTCCTCAGCCACACACGCTGCATTGGTAGATCCCTGGATTCCAGGGCAGGTCAGGAGGTGGGTGGCAGGCAGACATGGCTGGGGCATCCTATGAGAACCACCTCCTCACTCCAGCATCCAAAGGAAGCAGGTTTCACCCAGTGGAAAAAGTGTATCATGTGGAGGTGGCAGTCAGCTGTTCATTTCCATAACCCCAGCAGCTCAGGCACCCGAGACAGTTAACCAGGCCCCACCAGCAGCAAACTGGCAATGGTTCTCACCCTCCCTCCCCAGAAGAAAGCAGGAGGCAGGCGCTGGCCTCTAGCACTGCATCTGCCACTGCTGCATCACCACAGACATGGTGTGGCCCAAAGAATCTGTGCTCTTTGTCCTTAGCCATGCTTCCTGAACCCCCAGCAGGGTGCACACTCTGGCAGAGACAATGGCCCTGAGAGCAAATAGAAGATGCTATCTCTACCTCAGCCAAAACTGCAAATTAGGTCACAATGCTGGAGTTGGAATATTACAAGTGTTTGAAGAACTGATAAAAATTAGAAATGGTAAAAGAACAAGGCAGTACTGAGGTATCTTAATGTATGATAACATCCTATGTGGCATGCAGAATTTTCTGGTCTTTTTTTTTTTTTAAGCTTGTAAGAACTTCACTTTAATCACATGCAAGAACACTATATTTTTGTCCATACCTCCCCCCCGCCCCGAACACATTGTATGTTTTTT